TATTTTTAATTTTATTAGTTTTTCGAATAATTAAATCTCTCAATTTTTAATTTCCAGATATATCTACTGGTATTTAAAATTCAAAGCGCGTATTCGTTGGAATTTTTATTAGATTACTGGATTCTAATAATTTCGAAATTATTTAGGAAAATGAAATATGAATTAAAATATAAACACTTTGCTTGAGTCTTTGTTTGGAAGATTTTACGGATCAAACACGATACTTTATCTTAAATTTTCTTCGAGTTTCTATTCTTCGGTTCTCCCTCTTCTATTTAAAAGAGATGCAAAATTTGAAAATACACCACGTTTTGCATAACGTGATATTTTTGGGTATTATATATGACAGTACCAAATGAAATTCTTCAAGTACCAACTGAACACGAATTCTTGGCTAAACAGAAATTTTATGAAATCGTTATCTTGATCAGATACCTCGATATGATATATATTGAAGTTCTTTTTACCAAATCAAGAGAGTCATGAGGAAGAAACGCAATTTTCTTGAAAGAAAACATTCTTCGCGAAATTTCTCTAAGAAAATATGTCACGAATGAGGTTTTCATGCAGAAAATGAGTCGCAACGCGTAATATTTCATCCAGTCGACACTTTTATGTATCGCAGAGAAATGATTTTTCTTTCAATTTCCTTCTCGAAAGTCCTTATTAAATACTGAGGTTAACCATCAGAAAGATACGTATGCAAAATGTCCATGCAAGAAAAGGAAATTTTGAATATATAGAGCACTATGTAAAGCAGTAAAAACACGAGTATCTAATAATAATTATCCCTTTCGCTGCTTAATCATACCTCGTACGGTTAAGAATCCAATTAATTACCAGATCAACCAAGATTTCCCTGTTCCATTTAAAATCCTGAAGATGGGTAAATCCTAGTAAATACAAAATTTGATAAAAACTCGAAATTGAAACGTTTACGAATCGTTTCTGACATTTACTACCTCACTGTGGTAAATACTAGAATAATTTATAAAATATAATATTATATTATATAATTATTAATATATTAGGAAACATTTATTAATATTTAATAATTTTATTTATTTTATTAAATTATTATAATCTATTGATTAAGATTTTAATGAAAAAAATTCTATCTTGCAATAAATCTAACTACGTCGAATAGTAAAAAGATTAGAATATTTCACATATCCTAAATTTGTCAAACAGGGAAAGTTAGGTTTCTTCGGTCTAGTAAATCTTCACGCATGCAAAGAAAGTCGCTGTGAGCCATCGTTAACGTAATTATCGCGTTATCTCCCCTCGTGAAAACACTATGGCCTCTCATTCACCTGGCAAGGATCCTTTCCATCGAGTCTCATTTATCGTTCTACGGGCTGCTTTTCAACGACGACGAAAGAGCCTGCCCCCCTCGTCCTTCTTGTCGCGTTTACCTTCCAAACGTGTCCGGCGCGCGTGTACATAATAAAAGTACGATTTGTTGAATAAGTAACGTTGCATTGCATGTGAAACCAATTTACGAGCATCAAGTGCAAGTTTATACGACGTCGTACGAAAAGATCGTTAAATGAATTCCTTGAAAGACGCTGGCCCAAACTGAGAAATAATTTCTTCTGCTGCCGTATCTTCCTTGCTTCATACTAAATCCAGAAACGGAGAAGTCGACTAGAGCTACGATGACGAGCATCGAAATTTTTCGCCATTCCAGTTTCGAGAAAATATTTATCCCGCGCGAGTATGCGATTCTTTTCAATCGGGAATTCCGTTCCAATGGCAAAGATTCGTCATGCACAGGGTGAGTCGTTTAACCTCTTCGCCTAAATTTATTTTCGAAATGGTATGATATTGTCTGGTGTATCCACAATTTCCTCAAATTGTGAAGAATACCTCGAATTTTTGAAAGTTTGCGTTACGTTTAACCAAGAGTTTCGAAGGAATACTGAATAGAGAGTAAAGAATTATACTACCAAGATTTAGTTAATTTTTAATACAGGAAATATTCAGAACCAATACACCTTGGTAGTTCGACAAAGATGGAAGATTTAACGTTAACCAAGAATCTAACAAAGAGGAACACTTCCTTCAAAAAATTAAATAATCTAATAATAATCCAAGAAGCTTGAAAAAGTGAATGAAATTAATCAAAGGTGAAATAATTAATAAAAATAATTAATATAAATTATACTACAATATATAGGCAGTTCTAAATAAAATATCGAAAGAAAAATAAAAATATATATGACCAAAAACATCGTGTTAATCTAATATAAATTATGGCAGGTCGAAAGAGGTTCGTTATCCCTTTAATAATGAAATCTTATTTTCTCTATTTCATCTCACTCCTTTTTCCAGCAGCGACCACGTCTAATAGGAAAAGAGGAATTTATTTCACCACCATGAGTTACGACCACTGGGTCGAATGGAGAAAGCTAATTTTCACAAGGAGGACTTGTTTGTCTTGAGTAGCAGCATTCTTTTTTCGTATAACGAAGTGTCTTTACCCGCAGCACGATTAATCTGTGCCATTTAAAAGGAAGCTAATGCGCGCGTTTTTCGGTGACCACGCATTTATCCGGCCAAAATGGTATTTTTCACCCTCTTGTAATTTCCCCTGGCCCTGTGCCTGTATTTTCCTTCGAGAAACAGCAGAAATGTTATTTTCGTGCATATATTTCGTGATATTTAGCCAGCTAATCGCGTCAAGTTGATCTGATTATACGTGATATATAATTGAGAGAAAATCTAGTTGAATACACAGGACAAATAATTTAAATCGCTCGGAGATAATATTTTTGCCTCTATTCGCTTGTTTCGTCGTTTTATAAATATTCCTCGATTCTCGTGTTATTCGCTACGAATAATTTAACGGGAACACGATTACTTGTGTGAAATTACGAATACTTGATTGTCGTCAGTGTAAAGCAGCGATGCGAATTTCGAAGGAATAAATATTAATTTCCAACGGCATTCAAACGAATAAACGTGTACCTCTGGAATTTTAGAATAATCCTTTTCATTTTTTGGAACAGTCGATTGTTAATTCTTGTTAGAAAGAATTACTGGGAAACGTCGTACCGTGGTTTGCGTGAAATAAATTGGTTGGCAATAAATATTGATCGACGAAATTAGAACACTTTCTCGAGTTTAAGTTTCGCCTAATTAGTTAGGAGAACTTGATGTCTGAAATTTGTCTATAAGATGACGAGAAGAAAAAGGGATTTAAAGCTCTCCTTTTTAATGACAATCGCAAATACATGTTTAAAATTAATGACGGTTCGTTTGTTCATTTATGTCAAAAGGCAAACGTTTGAATTTAAACAAGAATTATGTGTTAATAATTGTTCTATATTCTCTATTCTAAATACCATATCTATATTCTTATCTATATTCATATAATCCATATTCTCATTATCGAATAATTGCAATTTAAATTTTAATTAAGTTATAACAATTAATTTTTAATTAATAACCTAACTTTTATTTCTTAATTAATTTTAAAGCGCATTTAAGGAAATTTGTGAATTATTAAAATAGCGAATATCTAACGTTACTTTTACTAAATTTATGTCGATCCATTTTTCATTCCCTTATGCGAATAATATATATTTCCTCGAATTTTCTAATCCTCATCTAATTTTCTCTATGCCTAGAGTTTAATGAAAAAGGCAATGAATAACCGGAAGTAGCATGCACTATTTTTGCACATTTTTTTATTGGTAGCTCCGAGTTTTTGAAATGTTTAATATGTTTCCTTCTCACTCGTCTAATAACCTGAACTTCCAAAACGCTTCTGAGTTTTCACGGATTAAGACACATTGCAAACTTTGTTGTACTCGGTGCTACGAAGATGCACTCTCTGAGCTTTCAAACTACCCTCAATGAAAGTGGTGGCTAACTTTATTCGAGAAAATAGAGAATGAAAATCTTTGTCACCGTGGATGAGTAAAGATACCTAATTTTTAATACGTCTCGCAGAATCTTTCTCGATTAATCTTTCTAAAATTTCGTTCATTTCGTTTCATAAAGAATATCTAATTATCATTTTCTAATATCTAATCAATTTAAAAATAATTTTATTTTATACAATCTAACTTTTCTCGAAGAATTATAAAATACTACACTCCTATTACAGCAATTTTCACTCATTTCCCGCTTTTAAAAGTAAAACTATCACGTTTATACTTCATTTTCTGATTTTATCTATGAATTTCTAAGCTGACAAAATTGATTCAAAATTTTTGAAAAATTGTATCGTCTGTGATATTTACTTATGCTCTTTTCGGCACGAATATAACAATAGTTATCCTCCATCCACGATAGACGAAATTACATCGAACTAAACAATTTTCAAAATTTTTATGAGAACAGGATAATACACACACTTAACAAAGCACGCTAATAACCAGATACGTTTACTTTCATCGTCCAATTATTTCATTTCGTGTCAGTAAATAATTATCATCGGCACACGTCACGTTTTCACTCGTCTCCAACTTGCACCCAGATCTTTTCTCTCAATAACGAACTACAGATATCAAACCTACGATTGAAAAATAAATTCCTCTACTGTCGCTGCTCTCTGAAGACGAAACAAGTCAATTCGCAATTTCAAAATAGAAAAATTAAAAAAAAAAAAAAAAAAAAAAAAATACATCACTCTGATAGTGCACTACACATCACCAATCTTCACCTGAAACAACCCCTAATTCAAAAATCACTGGCGAGTCATTCGATACTACGATACATAATTTGAATCTTAAAATGAAAATCACTATATTCGGAACTTAAATGTATATCACAATGCACTACATACTACCAATTTTTAATCCTAAGGGTTGTAAGGGTTCCTAAAACAACCCCTAATATCCTAATTCGTAAAATAATTTTATCTTCTCACTGGCTGTATTAACCTTCACTCGTCTAAATCTCTCAATACATCTACTAAAGCAAGTACAGCTAAATATTAAAAAATAAAATAAAATAAAAAGTAAAAAAAGAAAAGAAATTTTCACACTCACCTATTACACTCGAGCAAGAAACACTGGAATCCCCATGGCGAACTCGTTTCGAAGATTCTTCGTTCGTCACATGGTCACGAGAATAGGGTGATCGACAATCGCGAGCAGGTCGGGATCCCTCGGATCGATGGCATCGCGTGATCGCGAGGACTCTCGGCTCGATGTCAGCGAGTCAGCACGATGACAAGGTCAGAAACAAAAACATGGTTGATCGGTGGCAAACGCGAACTTTGCAAAGAGACGAAAAGCACGTGGCGAAGCCACGACGCGTACTGGCTGCCTCGTACAGGACAGCTGACGAAGGGTGGTAGCTCCGCACTCGCCACCCTGCGCTTTCCCTCTTGCTCCCTCGCATCGCTTCTTCCCGCTCCACGCCCCCACCACTTTTCCAAAATTCATCGTACCCATGATTTATCGTCAACCTCTCATTTTTTTTCCTTTTTTTCCTCTCCTGTCCGCTCCCTTTTCTTGTCGATGAAGTACAAAATCTGGAATTTTTCAACGGGATTTTTGTCAGTCATTGTGTCATGAATGCTGTTTCACGGATAGTTAAGATTTATATTTCGGAATACAAAGGAATATGCACGTACGTTATTTCTCTGTTCTGGGAATATATAGAAAATAATTGTGCTAGTTAAACAGATTATAAATTAAATATATTTATTTATGGCAAAGCTACGAACTCGAATCTTTATTATTTTGCAAAAATGGATTTATTTTAGCGTAATAGAAATTGTTCGTGTTTTTTTAATGAAGAAATTTACAAATTTATGAAATGTTCCACTGCAAACGTGTTTTTAGAGTCGGTAAGGGACCAAACTAAAATATCCTCGGAGCACACAGGGTTAAAATAGAATCTCGTAAATAAGAAATTACGAATGTAATGTTTATTTGCTGGAAACGGTATATAAATTACAACTATAGGCATATACCAGAGAGAGTTTCAACCCATTCAGCGAATAACTAATAGATCGGTGCATAGGAAATGGTTTATCGAAGTTTGAAGTTGAATATCGGTTGAAATTTAAGGGATGGTAGTCTCGCACCAAGTTTGAAATTAGCGCGTGAATAATCGACTTAAATTTCAGTCGATATTCGAGCGTTAGAAACCACATTGAAGAGGGAATTTTCTGCAATTCGCGTGTGTCGAATATTAAGAAAGTGCCGTGACAAAATTGGCGGAACTTCATTAGTTGAGGCCGCGAATTATCAGGATCATCGCCTAACTTTTTTACGAGTTCAAACTTGGATAATACAGCGTAAAAGCTACTAAAAGTGAGAATTTTCCATTCAAATAAGTTTACGTAAATGATAGTGTAATGACATTTATTGGTAAAATTCGAGACAAGATTTTGTATCGAGGAATAGATCAAAGGAGGAAGCCAATTTTTGTTACGTTCTTCTAATAACAAAAATTATTAATCGTGAAAAAGTTTGTTCGAAATTCACAAAATCGTACGATTAAAAAGGAAACTATTTCGAAGCTAATAAGAAATATAAAATATACAAAATTATCCAATCTTTAAAACAATTACTCTGAATTTGAAGAATTTCACATAATCGAGAACTATTATTAAGTACAGATGTTTACAAGCTTGTAATAATAAAATCGACTCAAAATTAAACAAATTACAGGTAAAACTTGTTTTAATTAAAATTACATGTGATATTGCAAAGAAAGTAGCTTCAAATTTTATTTTAAAAAGCAACACGTGACATAAACTAATTAAAAACAAAAAGAAGACACTGACAAAATATTTTTATCTTTCCAAAATTTCTATAATAAAATCCCTCTAATCTCCTAAGCCAAGTATCAGTTGTAATTGATAATTACCACTTGCTACCAATTTTCGGATACTAATATTCCCGGAGGAAATATAGTAATGCAGCTGACCGGAAATACAGAAGTAAATTCGATAGAAATAGGAAAGTAAGGAAAAGGAAAAAATGACGGTGCATGGAGGCGTCATGGCATTTGCACGCGAAGTAATCGAAGTCAACAGAGCTCGGAATTCATTGCAGCAGGAAGAGATTTCCTGGTGAGAGATCCATTGTTGACAGTGCATTAGCAGTCTCCTGCGGTTCTACGGTACTCCATTCAGCGGCGGAGTTTTCTCGATACCCACTCGACAATGGGATTATCGATACCAGACCGTGAACGGAAGTTATTAGAATCCGACAAACCTCGCCGGAAGCCAGATCGCGAAATATAGAAAAACATTTCCAACATCGAGTTGTAACCGGCTCATGCATTAAGCAAAATTTGCAGTCGATTCTTCGACAATGTTTCACGTGCACCACGTTTTCCCAGGATTATGCATATTTTTTGATTTAGAGGTACGTTGTTAAAATATATGTACAGGATGATACCGAATATATCATCTCTGTGCCATTTCTTTATTCGCGAAACTGACTTTTGTTCTGGTACCGCATGAACATGCGTTTTTGTACGTTCTAAAATGAACGAATACAAAACTTCGAATGATTCTAGGCAATTTTATAGTTAGATAAAATAAAAGAAATGAAATATTTACCCCTTGTACTTGATGATTTTATAGAGAATACATTTAAAAATATTTTTTCTTGGAGCGAAAAAAAGAAAGGAATATAATTAATAATAAGGTAGAGTAATAAGATTTACAGATTACACGACATAATTCATATTTTAATAGTATACATCCTTTATTCATTCTACACTCTAACATCTTTGGATCCTAATGTACATCTATAGGAAAAATAGTCTCGTCTGTTTAATTCGTGATTTTTGTCTATTTAAGAAAAATTGACTAAAAAAGGATCGTATGATTGTAAATATTAATTGCTTTTCGTTATTAGTGAAATATGAGTTAAAATTCTTTTTTTCTCTCTTTGGAGAGATGTTGCGGTTAAACGTAAAATGATCTGAAATTGAAACCAAAGAATCGATTGGTTTGGTGTATATTGTAAACGAAGTGGCTCAATTTTGAAAACTGTCTGCTGTATTATCTCTATCTGTTTATCTACGTGATGATCTATTGCCTGCATATGTACATTTGTATTCGATTTTTCGTGTATAATAGCTTTATAAAATGTTATTCTACATTTAATAATCGTACTATACGTTACGAAAAATATTTTACGGCTCTATTCTAAAATTTCGTGTTTTTTACCGACACAGTGAATGATGAATGAGACACGCTATCGGGGAGAAGAATACCAGAATCGACCTTTTCCCCTAACTTCCATAACTCTTTTTGCCATTGCTTTCGAATCACTTTATGGGTTTCGCATACATCATCATCAAACTTCTTTTACAACCAGAAATTTCACGTTATGTATCTCTCCGTGTACAGATTAATCTCGAATAAAGACTAGCGCAGATTACCCTCCGATTAAATACACTGTGCACGATATAAATAATTTCTCCTATTATTCAAATTTACAAATAGCACAAAATTCTCGTCGCCTAACCTTGGATTTACTTTCCAATTTACCCTAATTGTGACATTAAACCTACAGACAACTCTGAATCTCGCAAGTGACGAAATTTATAAATTTAATAACAATAAATAATAGCAAAGTACAAAAATAAATATAAAAAGATACAAAGACACGTAAACTTGAAATGGACTCTGACGATAAATAATGTAAAAATATTAATGACGATAAATAAAAATAACCTCACGGACAATTATTATACAAACTATACAAATGATGAAATCTATCGGTTTAATGGAAATATGAAAATTTCGAATTTGGTTTTATGTAAACACAAAATAGAAAATTAGGTAAATTTAAGATTGGTTGTGTTTAAAAATATGCTAAAATATTAATGACAATGAATGAAAATGATGTCAAAGTAGGACAGCGAATTAAATAAGTAGGTATAGTAAGGCCGTAAAAATTTCTGCAGGTAAAAGGACGTTAAAAGCTAATTGTCAGGGCGTAGAGGAACTTTATCCCCGATGGTTCATTGATGGGGTGGTTATCGTCTACTAAAATCGCTGATATCCTTTTTTCCCTCTTGTACCGTTTCTTAGACGCTGTCTCGTGACCTCCACTTTTGCACTCTTTTAATTAAATCGTTAAATATGATCTTCGAGGTGCCATTGTATCGGCCTCCCTTTATAACGCAGGCCACAATGAAGTTTCGTTTAAGAGCATCGACATAATTCAGCAATTGATAAACGAGTTTGATAGAAACGTTAATCTCTTTCTTATGTTAAGAGACAACGAACGCTAAATATTCGCGACGAAATTAAATTGCAGTTTTGTCCATACCTGTCCCGTAATATGCTAATGTCTCCCGTCGAATTTATAATTTATAATTTTAATATAATAAATTTCATATATTCGTTAATAATATAATAGAACTCTTTTAAATTACAATAAGGAAAATTTATGTACTATAATAAATAATACATTAATTATCCAATATTTGAATATTCGTATTAAATAATTCTTCTTTTAGTTAATTACCGAGCCCTCGTTTTCATCGTAAACCTTAAATTTAGAAAAAGAAAATTGAAATTTAATTTCGAACGAAGTACGAAATTAAAAATTGGAAAGTCTTTTTCAGAGGAATTACTGTAATAAATACTGTAATAAATAATATATTAATTATCCAATATTTGAATATTCGTATTAAATAATTCTTCCTTTAGTTAATTATTGATCCTTCGTTTCCATCGTAAACCTTAAATTTAAATTGAAATTTGAAATTTAATTTCTAATGCAATACGAAATTAAAAATTGGAAAGTCGTTTCCAGAAAAATTACCAATATTTCACACACTTGGAAAGTTTAGTATATCAACGAAGAAACTTTAAAACAATTATTAATAATTTATTACTGTCTCATCAAAGCTATTACATCTGCCAAACTTCCGTTTAAGTGTATACTGTTTACTGTATTTTACGTGAACCTCACACGCGGTACAATACGCTAATTCCACCATTATTCCTCGTGGAGAATGCAAACGCGATTACAGTAAATCTCGCTTGCAACGACACCGCGACAACGGTAATAAAATTATTTATTTGCAGCGGACCAGCGCGAGGAAATATAAGGGAAGACTCGCATCGATTTAAAAGCCTCGTTATCGTCTTATTAATGGAGAAGTTACGGAAGCATATTTCTCGAATCGAGGTTGCCAGCGATTACTACTATTTACGTAACCTTTTTTCCCTTCGAAGCACCAACGAGATGTCGAGGAATCGGTAATTTAATCCGGAAATCGATCTCGCGTGCATCCTTCCACCCTCTGCTACCCTCCAGCCACCCTCCGCCGGTTGTGGTCGCGATCGTTTCACGAAGAAATACAGGCAACGATCTCCCTTTTTTCCCCCGTCGTATTTTCCTCGTTACGACGGCAACTTAATGGCAGATTTCACCGCTAAATCGCGAAACGTAATTTTCGGACCTCGTCGCAGCGTTTCAACGAATTTCTTCGAGTCCGCTGATTCCGAGGACTTCGTGTCTTCCATAAAACGCGTAAGGGTGAAATACG